TATGAACACAACGTGTGTGTGTGTTTGTGTGTGTGTGCGTGCGTGCGTGCGTGCGAGAGTGTGTGTGTAATGGGAACATCAGGCGTGCTTTTTTAATTTGGTTATTTTAGAATTTATGGACTTTTTAAAGTTCAATAAACATGCTCAAATGGAAAAAAAATGTTAGTTTTTCTTTCTGTTTTACAGAATGTGTATTAAACCTAATGCTGATGTAAAAATACAAAGTCCTTACAAGCAGATAATATATTAAAGTAGCTTTAATTAAATTTTTTTTTTTTTAAGTTATCAGTGTGACTCTATATTAAATTATGTTTGTTTCTAAACATGTAAACTGAATAAGAATAGTTTCTGTGATGACCGTCATGTGAACAAATCAGTACAGTCTGTTTATTTTTATTTATTTTGACAAACATGTTATTAAAAGGCTGTGTAGATTTTAAATTGTTAATAACTACAACAAAATTGATGTAAAAGAAACAAATTAAATAATGAGCTCTATAACATTCTGCAGGTGTCTCTTGCAGTTGTAGGAATTAAAGTGCGTTTCCGTAATAAAAAATATAATTTGGACCTGTGATAGAAACATGCATGAAGAAGAAGCTGATGTTCTTCAAACTAAAACTAATAAACTTTAAAAAAATAACTTAACAGTGTATCTTCAGCTCATTTTCTAAACTGTGCCCCAGACAGCTGAATAAAGTCTGTTTTCAGTAAAATAGCCTCTAATGATGAAGCACGGTGGAGGAGATATTATGATTTGCTGCTTTCACAAGAACACGTTATGGTCAAGAATGAATCGGACATATTGAACAGTTCTTGGTGATAAGTTCAGATGACATTTGCATTGTGCATATATATATATATATATATATATATATATGTATATATATATGGGGTCTGACTTGCTGCTTTCTGAGCTTGCACAAAGCTGAGCTCAGTTTGGTCCATCATGAGTTTGTTTAAAATCAAAACTAGATCTAAAATGACAAATATTTCTGCAGAGTGGTGACTCTGTTATACAGATGATAACTTGGTTTTCCAGTCAATGAGTTCATTTGGAATTAAACAAGATTTTAAAATAATTAATTTTACGTAAAGACAATAATTGCCAAATGTCTGACCCCCGAGCTGTTGGCTTCTGTCACCATGGCCCACTGAGCAATTTAGTTGAATAGAACTTTGCAACTTAATTATTTACACTGAATTCTGTAATCTGTAAGCACTACTAGCAGTTAGAGTGAAACCTTTCTCTCCCAATTGATCTATTTGAACAGATCAGACAAACCAGTAATGGTTTGAGTGTTCTCACTACTAACACAACTCCACTTTCTGTCATTTCGTTGTGGTTCATTTTAAACCTGTACATTGCAATCACTCTCGCATGGCACATGGTCTCCAAAAGGAAAGTTTTTAGACTTCTTGCGGAAAATAACCCAGACAGTACCAAAAGTGTTACTGCTAACTGACTTCAGATCAGCTGTTTGTCAGTTAAACTGAAGATGTTCAAAGAGCTCAGATGGTATTTGGTCATAACTTTACAGAAAAGCCTACAAGTAAAGAGCTGAACTATCCCTTTAATACAAAGCACATCAGCTCCTTAGCTTTAAATAAAACAATGAACTTTTCCTCTGCTTTGACATAAAGTGTCAAGAGTCGGACATCATTAGTAATTCCACTGAGTGATTCATTTTTAGACAAAAATGCATAAATCACGTTTCCCTTTACTGATGTTCTTCTTCACCATCTAATATGAAATATGTTCATTAAAATAAATAATGCTTCTTTGTTCACTTTTTGCCCAAATATCCGTCATGTTAGTGAGATTTCTCATTTTGCGATCATTATAAAGTTAGTGGCTCTTGATTTTTACATAGCTACTTTTCATGATAAGATTAATTAGCTTCTGATTATTTATTTTTAATAATATTTTAAAGTAATTTTGGGTTTAGGATTAGAGCCTGATTTAACCATCATCCTCCACAAGGGGGAGACAAAGGCCGTGGTTTAAAGAATTTCCTGGTAAATCTGTAAGAAAATCTTCCTCATTAATGTTTGTAATAAGCCCCTTTCAAGATGGCCGCCACAGCTAAGCAACCTCAGCAAAGACAAAATAACAGAAGAACAGAAATAACAGGCCGAAACTCTGACAGTTTTGAAGATATTGAGCTAACATTTGGTGTGGTGGTAGCTGAGGGTCCTTCACAACACATACTTTAAGCTCGACGCAGTGCACAGCATTTCCCCTTAAAACTGGCATTAATTCAACAGTGTTCAGTCAGGTCATCTGGATGGTTTCTTTTTTTGCTGAGATGTTTTGTCCTTCATCCAAAGGACTTCATCAGTCCGAGGAGCCACTGAGCAGCACAAAAAAAACCACCTTTACCAGCAAACAGTTTTTCCCCCACTGATGAAGTCCTTTGGATGAGGGACGCAACGTCTCAGCAATAAAATAAACCCTCCAGATGACCTGACTGAACATTGATGGATTTGTACCTGGATTACTGAGCATGAACTTTGATGTGGCATTAATTGTTGGCGCCAATTCTGTTTGTTAGCAAAATATCTGATCCATTCTTTGGCTGTACGTCTTAAAGTCATTAATGTTTCAGTCTGCAGGTGGCGCCGCTGCCTAACAAGGTTTGAGACGCCTCTGGATGAGTGTCATGTCACTTATCAGGCCTCACAAGGTGTTAGAAAGTGTGCGTGTGTGTTCTGTTACTGACTTCCAGCGACCAGCAGCATCAAAGCGACTCTCGGTGCGGGTCACCTCTGAAGGATGCAACAACTTTGATGTCTGTGCCTCGAGGTCCACCGGTGAAGGATTTCAGACGCAGCTGAATCAGACAAACTGCTAATCTCTGACGAGTGCAGAGATTGTTAAACGTGACTTCTAAAACGTATTAAAACTCTTGTTTTATGGCGGAAAGATTTCTTATTACTTCTCTGATCCTCTGTCATCTCTTTGTAAAGAAATGATCTTTGAAGGTTCCATGCTGAGGTACTCTGAGAATATCTTATGGATGTCCACAAATTAAAAGCCTAGCTTTCCTTGGCTGCGTATCACCTGCTGCCTTTCATCCCTGAGACCTGCACTCGTTGTATCATGTGATGCAGTTTGTTCTCAGATCCCCTCAGAGGTCAGAGTGCACACATCCAAACTCTCTCACTTCCACTGTCTCTGAGCAGAGGAAATGTACAGATGTGCCAACCAGATGTTTCTGCTACTTAAAGATCATAAATCTTTGTTATGGTTCGTAATTTTTCCAACAAAGTTCAGTCAGGTCATGTGGATGGTTTATTTTTTTGTTGTGACGTTACATCCTTCATCCAAAGGACTTCATCAGTTTGAAGAGCAACAACAAACTGAGTCCCACAAGCTGCACACTCCCATAGTGGACCAACCAGTTTGATGGTGATAAGATGGTTTCTGGGGCCCGCCCTCTCCCCTGTCGACTCCTCTGAGGCAGCCATAGCCACATTGGTTCTAAACATCAAAGTTCATGCTCAATAATCCAGGTAAAAAATCCACACATGCCGTCCAACTATGATCGTTTGAACCACTTTGACTATGGCTGCCTCAGAGGAGTCGACGGGGGAGAGGGCGGAACCCAGAAACCATCTTATCACCAGCAAACTGGTTGGTCCACTATGGGAGTGTGTTGCTTATGGGACTGAGTTTGTTGTGGCTCCTCAGACTGATGAAGTCTTTTGGGTGAAGGACGAAACGTCTCAACAAAATAAAGAAACTGTCCAGATGACCTGACTGAACTTTGTTGGATTTTTTTACTTGAACTATTGAGCATGAACTTTGAGATTATTCATTTATTTTTGCTGCTTGATGTTTAATTTTTGCTCCGTGTTTCTGCCTGCCTGTGTTCACAACAGTGGCACGGTGCCTCAGTAGTTAGAGCTGATGCCTCGCAGTGAGAAGGTTGCTAGACCAATTCCCGGCCGGGACCTTTCTGGGTGAAGTTTGCATGTTCTCTCTGTGCATGCGTGGGTTTTCTCCGGATACTCCAGTTTCCTCCCACAGACCAAAAACATGCATGTTAGGCTGATTGGTAACTCTGAATTGTCTCTAGGTGTGAGAGTGAATTTGTCAAGCGAGAAGCGAGTTTGTCTTGTTTGTCTCTATGTGTCCCTGTGATGGACTGGAGACCTGTCCAGGGTGTCCTCACCTCTCGCACAGTGACTGCTGGATATGGACAATAGTGACCCCTGTGACCCAAAAAGGAAGAAGCGGTAAAGATATTGGATGCATGGATGGATGGATGGATGTACTCACAACATAGATAATAGCTTTGCGAGCCGACATGATGGAAACAAGGTTGCCTTTATGAAAACTGCAACAATTTCCTTTTTGCAGCCGCAACTTCCCCGACAACAGCGACCTCAGGACCAGTTGTTTGAATCTTCAGCTGGATTGATTTCAGCTCTCAGGAAATGCTTCAGTGAAATTAATTGTGTTTCCCTTTGGCACACGGAGTGATTTACAAAGTCTTAGTTTTTACTCTTGTTCCCTCTCTCTTCTTTGTTCTTAACTTTGACAGGATTAATTAAAGGATTCTCTGACAACCAGCTGCACACCAGAGGAGACAGAGCTTTTAAATTGTTTTTTATTTCCTCTCCCAGCACAGTCATAAGATCCTAATTTATATGTCAGCTTTTTACAAAACATCACTTCAGAAAGTCTAAATTATAGTTTAAGACATAGTTGTGCATTATTTGTTCAAATTCTGAGTAAACTGGGTCGAGGTTGGGTCTGTTTACCGACGCGTCTTGAACAAATTAGCATTTTAATGGAATTTTTTTTTTTCTTTTGCGACAGTCAGCGTCAACAAGTAAAGTTTGGCACCGAGCTGTGATTTCTGCAACGCTCCAAACAAGCACCTGATCTTCCTGTGAAAAATGTAACACACCCTTCCTCCCAGCAGATCCACGCACATAACTCAGCAGGGAGCGGTGCAGCTCTGTGACACGGCCTCAGAAACCTGCTCCGTCTACGGCAGACGGCTTCTTCTGTTTTCTATCAAGTGCAGAGTTGGGTTGCGTTCCACGCTCACTGGACTCTCAGCTGATGTAGACTCCAGCGTCATGTCTGCCTGAAGACAACAAACATGTAAATCTGCGTGACAGTCCTGCGCCCAGACATCATGTGTTTTCGTGTTAGTTGTGACAGCTTTAATGCTGCTTCATTTAACTCTAATCTGTTCACGGTCTGCCTTTTTTCGGCAACTTGTCACCCCTTGGTTGGTGAGACAACCAGGAAGTCCCCTTTTCAACCCTGATCTAATGTTCTCCACATCAAGTACTAGAACACAAAACATCTCAGTGAGAATATATTCCTCAGACTGAAGAAGTCCTTTGAATGAAGGACGAAACGTTTCATAAAAACACGAAACCATCCAGATGACCTGACTGAACATTGCTGGATTTTTACCTGGATTATTGAACATAAACTTTGCTGTTTTGAATCACTTTGGCATGACTGTCTCAGAGGAGTTGACGGGGGAGAGGGAGGGCCCTAGAGGCCATCTTAGCACCAGCAAACAGTTGTTTTCCACTCTGGAGTATGCAGTTTGTTTTGTGGCTGGCTACTCAGATTGAAGAAGTCCTTTGGATGATGGTCTCAGCAAAAAAAAAAAAAAAAAAAAAAAGAAACCATCCAGATGAGTTGACTGAACATTGTTGGATTTTTACCTGGATTATTGAGCATGAACTTTGGCAACGAGAAGATAGTTCTACTTTTAGCGTGTCAGACTCGCCCAAAAGTGGCAGTTAGCCGTCAGCTTTAAGCAACACTCCTTGCAACACTGAAACGACACAACACACACTATAATAATTATCTGCTTGAACGGTAGAAATACACAAACTAATTATAAAGAATTCAAAAAGACATGGCCCTACTCTAGAAGTGAAGGCTCATGGGAGTGGTGAACATCTTATGCTAACGCTAGCTTGAACAACAAGAGAAATGTAGTGTTTTCTTGATATTTTTTGTTTTCGTTCTCCTCTATAGTGGTGCTTGACAAAAATATTATACTTGGTAATTTCTTTATTGAGGAAAATGATTGTGTACTGTTATCACTACGTGTTGGATACACTGTGTATGTTAACGCAGATCAACAGCAAGCCAAACTCAATTTTCATGAGCCGGGAAACTGAGTGTCTTGCTCCTTATTACAGTCTTCTTGACAGCTTACTTTACAGTTGTTACTTGAAAAGCTCAATGAAAGGGGTTGAGTGAAAAGCCATTGCTTTCGAAGGCGTACAGTGCCTTGCAAAAGTATTCGGCCTCCTTGAACTTTTCAACCTTTTGCCACATTTCAGGCTTCAAACATAAAGATATAAAATTTTAATTATTTTGTGAAAAATCAACAACAAGTGGGACACAATCGTGAAGTGGAATGAAATTTATTGGATGTGTCAAACTTTTTTAACAAATAAAAAACTGAAAAGTGGGGTGTGCAATATTATTCGACCCCCTTGTGTTAATACTTTGTAGCGTCGCCTTTTGCTGCAGTTCCAGCTGCAAGTCTCTTGGGGTTTGTCTCTTTCAGTTTTGAACATGGAGACACTGAAATTCTTGCCCATTCTTCCTGCAAAACAGCTCGAGCTCAGTGAGGTTGGATGGAGAGCGTTTGTGAACAACAGTCTTCAGCTCTTTCCACAGATTCTCGATTGGATTCAGGTCTGGACTTTGACTTGGCCATTCCAACACCTGGATACGTTTATTTGTGAACCATTCCATTGTAGATTTGTCTTTATGTTTTGGATCATTGTCTTGTTGGAAGATAAATCTCCGTCCCAGTCTCAGGTCTCTTGCAGACTCAAACAGGTTTTCTTCCAGAATGGTCCTGTATTTGGCCCCATCCATCTTCCCATCAATTCTGACCATCTTCCCTGTCCATGCTGACGAAAAGCAGGCCCAAACCATGATGCTGCCACCACCATGTTTGACAGAGGGGATGGGGTGTTCAGGGTGATGAGCTCTGTTGCTTTTACGCCAAACATATCGTTTTGCATTGTGGCCAAACAGTTGGATTTTGGTTTCATGTGACCAGAGCACCTTCTTCCACATGTTTGGTGTGTCTCCCAGGTGCTTGTGGCAAACTTTAAACAACACTTTTTATGGAGATCTTTGAGAAATGGCTTTCTTCTTGCCACTCTTCCATAAAGGCCAGATTTGTGCAGTGTATGACTGATTGTTGTCCTATGGACAGACTCTCCCACCTCAGCTGTAGATCTCTGCAGTTCATCCAGAGTGATCATGGGCCTCTCGGCTGCATCTCTGATCAGTCTTCTCCTTGTTCGAGATGAAAGTTTAGAGGGACGGCCGGGTCTTGGTAGATTTGCAGTGGTCTGATACTCCTTCCATTTCAATATGATTGCTTGCACAGTGCTCCTTGGGATGTTTAAAGCTTGGGAAATCTTTTTGTATCCAAATACGTCTTTAAACTTCTCCACAACAGTATCTCGGACCTGCCTGTGTTCCTTGGTCTTCATGATGCTCTCTGTGCTTTGAACAGAACCCTGAGACTATCGCAGAGCAGGTGCATTTATACGGAGACTTGATTACACACAGGTGGATTCTATTTATCATCATCAGTCATTTGGGACAACATTGGATCATTCATAGATCCTCACTGAACTTCTGGAGTGAGTTTGCTGCACTGAAAGTAAAGGGGCCCAATAATATTGCACGCCCCACTTTTCAGTTTTTTATTTGTTAAAAAAGTTTGACACATCCAATAAATTTCATTCCACTTCACGATTGTGTCTCACTTGTTGTTGATTCGTCACAAAAAATTAAAATTTTATATCTTTATGTTTGAAGCCTGAAATGTGGCAAAAGTTGGAAAAGTTCAAGGGGGCTGAATACTTTCGCAAGGCACTGTAAATAAAAATTTTGGACACAGGAGCTGGGATTTTCCAACTGACAACTGCTTCTGCTACCCATAATGCATTGCAATCGAAAGATTTGCCTTCAAAATAAAATACAGATAAACCAACACTGGCTGTATAGAAATTTTCTTAGCTAAATGTCCATCTTTTTAACATGAATTATTACAGATTAATTATTATTTATTTTTTATCACTACCTTATTATGAACTATTTTTAACCTTAAGCATTGGGCAGAACAGATCATATATTACATAATGGTGAGTGGTAAAAGTATGCGAACCTCTAGGATTAGCAGTTTTGTGGGCGGATGAGACCAAAATAGAATTTTTTGGTTTAAATGAAAAGTTTTGTGTTTGAAGAAAGGAAAACTTTGCATCCCTAAATAAGGACCTTATCCCATGTGTGAAACATGGTGGTGGTAATATCATAGTTTGGGTCTGTTTTGCTGCATCTGGGCCAGGACGGCTTGAAATCATTCATGGAACAATGAATTTGAAGGATTCTGGTGTGGGTGACACACCAGATACTGAAAGTAAAGTTTCACATACTTTTTCCACTCACAGATATTTAATATTGGATCATTTTCCTCAATACATAAATAAACAAGTATAATATGTTTGTCTCATTAATTTAACTGGGTTCTCTTCATCTACTTTTAGGACTTGTGTGAAAATCGGATGTTTTAGGTCATATTTATGTAGAAATATAGAAAATTATAAAGGCTTCACAAACTTTCAAGCACCACTGTACGTAGAAGTTCTACATCTAACTAAGTCTTGTGTTTCAAGAAATTCAATGTGCTGTGTGTGTAAAGTTACCTTTAAGCTGCAGTAACTTTTATCCGCCACAAGACAGGGGGCCTCGGCAGCACATCCATGCTAATGAGGACAACACAAAAGCAAAAACACTACAAAAATATTTTTGTTAAAAAAACAAAGAATAGTACAAATAATGACCTGATAACCTACAATTCATGCAAAAATCAACAATGGTAAAAACATACAGACATTTCAGAATTAACTAGCTTTTGTAAAAAAAAAAAAAAAGTTTTTTCAAGTACTTTACTTTAAAAGACCAAAACAATGCCCTTATTACTGAGGCCTTGATCAATCCAGTCCATCTCCTGCTCCATCCCACCATCACTCATCAACAAGACACTCAGACTCAAACTCCTCCACCGGAGGCAAAGACTCCGCTGATTCAGACGGGGACATTCTGCTGTTATCGGATGAGAACCATGACCTCGGACGAAGGGAGCTGACTCTAAATCCTTTCTTCCTTTTTGGATTGTGGGGGTTACTGGTGTCCATTTCCAGCAGTCACTGTGCAAGAGTGAGAGAGAGAGTCCATCACAGGCATCAAAGTTCATGCTCAGTCATCCAGGTACAAAATCAAATCATGGTCAATCAGGTCATCTGGACGGTTTCTTTTTTGTGGAAAGATGTTTCACCCTCTATCCAGAGTGTACTGCTTAATGGGGAAAACAGTTTACTCGGGACTCCTCAGACTGACGAAGCCCTCTGGATAGAAGGCAAAACGTCTTTCCACAAAAAAGAAACAGTCCAGATGACCTGATTGACCATTACTGGAGTCCATCACAGGGTTATAGAGACAAATGAGACAAAGAACCATACCAATCAGCCTAAAATGCATGTTTTTGTCTGTGGGAAGAAACCAGAGTACCTGGAGAAAACCCAACCATACTCAGAGAGAACAAACTCTACCCATAAAGGCCACCCAGCTGGGATTGGATCGCGCAACTGAGCCATAGTGCCACCCTGACTCCAAATCTGCAGCCAGCGTTTAAAAATCTGTTTTTTTTTTAAGTACAGCTCTGATCAACCGTTTATTAAAACTTTTAACTTAAATCCCATCTGGTGTCCAGTTTTACTACGTCAGTAGCGCAGACTACCAAACTCATGTAGCTAAAAATGGTCTAGACCACCACCAAAGGAGGACAAGTGAAGACATTTTCAATGCACACCGAGGCCATTCACACCTACAGTACATTTACTGCTACCCAAATGCAAACGGAAACAAATCGAAACAAGTGTTAGTGCCAGGTAAAAATTGAGGCAGTACTTTACCTGCATTTTTATCCCTATTTGAGCTTCTGCATGTCCAAACCATCCACAATTCACTTTCTTGCTTTGAAAAGAGGTATTTCTGGATTTAAATTGCAGCAATGAGTCTCTA